TCACCACAAAGCCAGGGATGTTACCGAAGGCAGGGAGGACCTGGAGCCTGACCAGCCCAACAAAGCCATATGTGCACAAGGTTGCCAGGCCTGGGTTGGAGAATACCTGGAGAATTTGGGGGGTGGATCCAGGAGAGGGCGGGGGCCTCAGCATGGTCCAATGCCACAGAGTCCACCCTCCAAAGCAGCCATTTTCTCTCCAGGGGACCTGATCTCCGTCAGCCAGGGATGCCAGCCTCCAGGCGGGGCCTGGGGATCTCCCACTTTTACAACTGATATCAAGCCCAGAGAGATCAGCTCCCCTGGAGAAAACGGCTGCTTTGAAGGGTGGACTCTAGGACATTATACTTTGCTGAAGTCTCCAGGTATTTTCCAACCCAGACCTGGGAACCCTACTTCAGCTGGAGAGCAGCTGTAAAAGCAGGAGATTCCCCAGGCCCCACCTGGAGGCTGGCAACCCTATAAGTGCAGGGGCAGCCCAAGGGAAGGCGGCAGTCAAGACCAGCAGTTCTGGGAGCACACACACAGACCGCCAGTTGGCCCAGGCACACACTGAATCACCCACTGGCCCGTGGGTGCACTCCAAGTTGACCATCAGATGGGCATGCCCAGAGCCACATACTGGCTAGGTAGAGGGCACTCCCCCAGCCTGGCAAAACAGGTTGGCAGTGCTGGGACTCAGGTACCGCAGGGCTTTGGGACCCCCTGCCTTCTGGCACCCTAGGCAATTGCCTAGGGCCACCTAGTGGGTGAGCCACTCCTCCCCCCAATTACTGGCTGCCGTCTCCACTCCGGGCATGACTTGACTGAACCTCACTACATGAGGCCTGGGGGCCCACCTCAGGTTTTATAAGATCCCCCTGACTTGGAGACTGCTTCTTCGGTCTGGATGATTCATCAAGCTGTGGACAGATCTGGCCCAGACGAAGACGAAGCTTGCTTCCCTCTGCTCTACCTGTCGCCTACCTGGATATCGGACCTTGCACGTCTGTGATCACACCTATGGCCCTTGAGTTCTCATGAGGTCCCTCGGAAACCCAGACGACTGCCCACTTTTCACCCTGCCTCTGGCGCCTTGCAAAGGACCTATCCTGGCAAAGACTTACCTTCCCGGTGTGCTTGTTCACCACATGGAAGCGGGTATGGTGCTGGGGCTCCCACTTGATCGCATCCATAAAGGACTTCCCAAAAGTCTTGGCTGTCATGAGCTTCCACAGGTTCATTTTGAGAGGCAGCTCAACGAAGATCACGTAGTTCTTGCTCATTGCTGGAAGCAAAAAAATGACAGAGTTTAGGCATCCTCTGTCCCGGTTGCACTTCTGAGCAGGGCCAGTTCCAGGTTTTGGGGGACCCTGGACAGAAAATGCCATTTTGGTGTAGTGGTTAGGAGGGCAGACTCTCATCTGGGAGAACTGGGTTTGATTCCCCACTCCTCCACATGCATCCAGCTAGTGTGACCTTGGGTCAGTCACAAGTTCTCTCAGAGCTGTTCTCTCAAGAGCAGTCCTCGAAAGAGCTCTCTCAGCCCCCACAGGGTGTCTGTTGTGGGGAGAGGAGGGGAAAGGAGATTGTAAGCCACTCTGAGACTCCTTCGGGTAGTGAAGGGCAGGGTATAAATCCAATCTCCTCCTCCTCCTCCTCCTTCTTCATGGCGCTCCCCCCACCCACTACTAGGCCCCCCTTCTTGCCCACCCACCCATGTGCTCCCTCCCGCCTCTGCATCCTTCCTGTGCCCACTCGCAAGCTCTCCCACCATCTGCGATCAAAGCTGCCCACACTGCCTGCTTGCCCTTTCCCCGATGGTGCTGGGTGCATCTAGGAATGCCACAGTCATGGCTACCCGGAATGCTGATGCTTTCTGCGCCACCCATTTGCCTTCCTCCAGCAGCGCCAGGAAGTCCATGCAGCTGGGAGCACAGGTGACTAAGCACCTACAAGCAGACAGTGGAGAGGCATGAGCAGGGAGCAGGGGTCATCTGGGGCCGGAGCGAGCTGGAGCGGTGCTCCGGCAGCACAGGAGCGGGCACAAATGGCGGTGGCAGCAAGCCCCACCCCCAGCTCCCAGCGGGCTTGCGGCGGAAGCAAAAAGAGAAGGGATTTAAAGCTGCTGCAGCGCGATCTCCTATTGTATCCTATGGCCCCATAGCAGGCCCGTAGCTAACATGGGGCCCGGCCCCCTTGTGTTTCTTCTGGGGCCCCTCCCTCCGGGGCTGCCCCCAAAGTGCTCCAACTTACCACCTGCACTGTACTTCTATTTAATTAGCTGGCGGCCCCCCCAAGGCCCCCTTCCAAAGAATTCCCTAGCTACGGGGCTGCCCCATAGAATACAATGGAAAGATCGTGCCGCTGCTGTGGCGTGACTCTAGACAGAAGGGGTTTAAACTTTAAACCCTTTCTCTCTTCGCTTCCCCCACCCCACCCCGCCTTGGCAGGCTGGCTGGGGAAGGGGAGGCTTTTGAAGATGCCTCCCCCCCCTTTTTGCTTCCCCTTCTGACACAATTCCGGTGATGTCAGGGGGTGTGGCATATGCTAATGAGTTATGCTAATAGGTATGCTAATAAGCTCCTGCACCTCTTTTTCTACGAAATGACCCCTGGCAGGGAGTCAGCAGTCCCGGGCGCTAGCAGCTGCCCCACCACAGGGTACGCTGACTCCAGCCCTGATTCTAAGCCTTGCCGTTTTTTCTTCCGCCACAACTGCTTAATGGCGATCTTCAGACAACACGCCACTCACCTTCCTCCCACAGGCATAACCATTCTTTGCCAAAAAAAATTCAGACGATCCAACAGCATGCACACAAGGCTTAGAATAAAGTAAAGTTACGCAGAGTATGAACTCCATAGTAGTAATAATGGTGTAGTAAAGGAGTGGGGGATGAATTTGTTTGCAAACTGAGGTTTAAAAGGCCATGCAATATAAGCCATTGTGTAATCCTTCCTGAGTCTCTGAGAGAAGGTGAGATTATTCAGAGCAGAAAAGAGATCCAGTCAAAAGAGTAAAAGATCCAGTCAGAATGGGTATGACTCGCTTCTGTCTTGTGATAAGAGCCAGTGTGGTGTGATAGTTAGAGTGTCAGACTACAGAACCTCTCAGAATACATATAGGGATTATGTCCCGCTATAGGAGAGTTTTACAGATACTTTGGACTGCCACAAATAAGTGGAGATAGATGGGTAGCTGTGTTTGTCTGTAGCAGTAGAAAAGAGCAAGAGACCAGTAGCACCTTAAAGGCTAACAAGATTTGTGGCAGGGGAGGAGCTTTCGTGAGTCACTGCTCACAGTGCTCACAGTCAATGTTCCCTCTAAGCTGTGGAGTCTTGGAAGCAAAAATTCTACTTTGTGAGCTACTGGGATTAAAGTTGTGAGCGAGCAATTTGGCTACTGCATAAATTGGTTTGGTCTGGAGCCATCCTTCCTGAGCTAAGACAAAAACGTGCGAGCTGGAGGCTAAAAAACTGTGAGCTAGCTCACTAACTCAGTTTAGAGGGAACACTGCTCACAGTCACAGAGCAGTGGCTCATAAAAGCTCCTACCCTGCCACAAATTTTGTTAGCCTTTAAGGCGCTACTGGACTCTTGGCCTTTTCCATTGCCATAAATAAATGGGTTCCAGATCAAACCAAGGCTGAACTCTCCCAAGAAGCTAACTTGACTAAACAGGAGCTATTGTACTTTGATTACATCATGAAAAGACAAGACTCCCCAGAAAAGGCTATAATGCTAGCAAAAGTTGAAGGCAGCTGGAAAAGAGGAAGACGCAACAGGAAATGGATTGACCCAGTAAAGGAAGCCACAAAGGCCTTTGGTTTGCAAGACCTGAGTAAGGTTGCTCAGACAGGACGTTTTGGAGGCCATTGATTCACAAGGTCCCCATGAGTCAGAAGCAATCTGACGTGTGTCCCTTAATAAAGGAATTGTCCCACTAATCCTGACCAACGGCCCATTGACTCCAGCGCTGCTTCCAGAGGCACGGAGGCCCACAAACAAGGCATGTAGGTGAAAGACATCTCCACTGCTGATGCACAATAACTGATATTCCAAGTTTTTGCCTCTGAACGCAGAGATTCCATGAAGCCCCCATAGCCAACAGCTGTTGATAGACTGATCCTCCATCCATTTGCCTCATTCTTTTCCAAACAATGTATGCTTATAGTTGTCACCATATATTGGAGCACTGAATCCCATGCACTGGCCATGTTCTTGGGGCTTCTTTCCCCCTATTTCAAAGAACACATATAGCCTATGCTTATGACATTCCAATTCTATTTGCCTTGGTTGCGAAACAGTTCTTTCTGTCGGAAACCTCCTTGGCCACTACCTCTGGCAATTCTACTGGAGGTGCAGGAGTTTCTATTCAAAGGAGGGACGCGCTCACCAAAACTGTGGTAGTAGGAGGGCTTCATCCTATCTTTTGGCTGAATAGTGCACAGAATTTTTGCACCCTGCAGACTGGTGTCCTCAGGACCAGACTTCTGCGGGGGGATCTGAATGATGTTATAGTTCGAACCTGGATGGGAGAAAGAACATCTGTTAAGAACGATTCTGGCAATAGCTGCAGGTGGTTTTGGGCCTTTGCCCACTGAGCTATTGCTGCAGGGTTTACATGGATTATGGGAAGCTGCTTTATACTGAATCAGACCCTTGGTCCATGATGGTTGGTCTCATCTGGTGAGACTGGCAACAGCTCTCCAGGGTTTCAGGAAGAAGAAGAGGAAGAAGAGGAAGAAGAAGAAGAGGAAGAGGAAGAAGAGGAAGAGGAAGAAAAAGAAGAAGAAGAGGAGGAGGAGGAGGAGATTGGATTTATACCCCGTCCTTCACTTAGAGAGCGGATTACAAACTCCTTTCCCTTCCCCTCCCCACAACAGACACCCTGTGAGGTCGGTGGGGCTGAGAGAGCTCTTTCCAGAACTGACAAAACTACGGCTTGCCCAGGGTCATCCAGCAGCTGCGAGTGGAGGAGTGGGGAATCAAACCCGGTTCTCCCAGATTAGAGTCCGCGCACTTAACCACTACACCAAACTGGCTCTTTCATATCACCTACCACCTGCTCCTTTTAGCTGGAGATGCTAGGAATTGAACCCGAGCTCTTTTCATGCCAAGCAAATGCTCTACCCCTGAGCCATGGCCCCTCCTAGTGCCTTTTTGTATCTACGACTCTCAAAAGCTCATGCCCTGAAAATCTCCTTGGACTCCAAGGTACTACTGGACTCGGATCGAGCCGTTCTACCGGGAAAGGTTCCTATACGTGCATGCTTTTAAATAATCATTATGCGTTTCAAAACACTTGAAGATTCTGAGCCAATCCCCCACTTTGTATTGGTGTTACTAAACTTGTGGACAGTTAGTATATTCCACAAGAGCCACAGGCGACATCAGCAGAACCTGCCTGACACTGCTGGCGCAAATGGCACTGCCCAAAGACATGGTTTTCCATGACACTAGTGATGCAAGCAGGAATACAAGAAGGGTCACGAGAAAAAGCATGTGTCCTCATACCAACATGCAGAAAATCAAACATATGCGCTGCAGAGTCTTCTGTAGCCCCCTGCAGCTGTGTGCATCAGTGCTGGTTGAACACCCAAGCATGGAAATCAGATGTACTCAGAACAGGACTTCTAACTTCCTAGAAAGTATCTGTCTGGGCACATTCTGAGTATGTGTTAAATAACAGTAGCTGGACAGAATGTAGCCCTAGCAGATTATAGTTGTAAAAAAATAGGATACAAGCTTTTAGGTTGTTGTTTTTTTTAAAAAAACAACCTTCTGCATTCTCTTAGGTTCCCCTCCCCCCAATGTTTTCTGCAATGTGAATAACCAGACAACTTGGCCTGCTATTCACGTGGCCTGAGAAACATGGGCAGAAAGGAATGCGGTGGGAGCAACAATAGTGAAAAGTCAACAAATTCAAGGAACTGCTGGAGAGAACTGGAGCTAGTTAACTGCCTAAGCCTCAACCATGCAAGGCACGAACAGTTTCTCTGGGTTGTGAAACAGAGGCCGAGTTCAGACTGGCAATTTGAAGCGCTGGGGAGTTGTAGCAAAGGAGACCCGAAACAGACCGGGAACAGCTTGTTCGCAATATTCCCGTTCACACTGCAGCGAATGAAGTGGGAGGATACCGTGGGGGAAGTGCAAGGGAGCGTTCACACTGTCGGCCCACCCTTGGCGGGCTGTTAGCGGCTATTTCTGCAATCTGCTGCATGCGCCTATGCGCATGGGCACCTGCCGCAGAAACAGCCAGCGCCTATTATCAACGACTGCAGGTTGTTCCCGCCTTAGCAGCGCTTGCGTTCAGACGTCAGGGAACTGGAATCAACCCGCTGTACGCGTTGTTTGCTACCACTTTCACCTGGTACTTTTTAAACTTGGGAGGGAAGCAGCACAAGACGGCCTGAGTACGGCTGGGGGGACGCCTGACAGATGTGCCTGTGTGAACCCGCCCCTTTAATCCGCTCCCGAAACGCTCCTGAAACGTTTGGCTGCCGGGCCAAACTGCCAGTCTGAACTCGGCCAGAGATTAGGATTTCTCACCACTGTGCGAGTTTGTGGTTAGGATTCAGGAAACACTCCAGATACTTCCCCCACACCCTTACCAGCTTCTACATGAGAGTTCCTCTACACATTTTGTTCTTTGTCCCTTTGTCCCATATGAACGATACTGACCTTGGTTCAGGGGTCTGATTCAGTAAAAGCAGAGAAAGGAGCCATGGTTCAGTGGTAGAGTGCCTGCTTGGCACCCAGACGGTCCCGGGTTTAATCCCTGGTATCTCCAACTAAAAACGATCCAGTAGCGGGTGATGTGGGAGACCTCCACCTGAGACCCTGGAGAGCTGCTGCCAGTCTGAGTAGACAATACTGACCTTGACGGACCGAGGGTCTGATTCAGTATGGCAGCTTCACGTGGCATGTGGCACTCTCGTGCAGAGCTGCTGCTACGGGGACAGAATGACCAACTTTATGGCTCAGCAGGAGGCAATTTCATAGGTTCATATGTTCATCTACAGGGGATGTGGAGAAACCCTCTCTCCTGCCGGCTTTCCACATAAGACTACATCCTTCCTGTTTCCGACACTAGAATACTTCAGCTTCTGTTCAGGACATGCGCCCAGTGACTGACTTCCAAACATTTTATGAGCACCGTCACAGAAATACGTACCCAGTAAAGAACAAATTACAGAAGTTCAATCCAGCTGGTCCCTGAGCCTGATAAATTATTAACTGATTGACCGGTGTATTGAACCCTGCCTATGAACAGACGCAAAGGGATCCTAGGCAAGCTAGATCAAGCAGCTCCATAAACCCACTGGTCTCACCATGACTCCCATACGAATTGCCCATGTTGTACGCTGTTCCATCTGGGTCATAATGTGGGTGTGCAGTCGCTCCGTTCACTGCAACGTACTTTTCCCAATTCACCTGCAAATGCAAACATGTTTGCTTTTCCAAGAGGAAGCTCCTGAAATCATCAAAATATTTTTCCAGCCCTGGCATAAATACTTTCCCAGCCCTGGAGAGCTAGTTTGGTGTAGTGGTTAGGAGCACGGACTCTAATCTGGGAGAACCAGGTTTGATTCCCCATTCCTCCACATGCAGCTGCTGGCGTGACCTTGGGTCAGTCACAAGTTCTCTCAGAGCTGTTCTCCCAGGAGCAGTTCTCGAAAGAGCTCTCTCACAACTTCAATGCCAGTAGCTCACAAAGTAGAATTTTTGCTCACAAGACTCCACAGCTTAGAGGGAGCATTGCTCACAGGGTGTATGTTGTGGGGAGGGGAAGGGAAAGGAGATTGTAAACTACTCTGAGACTCCTTTGGATAGTGAAGGGTGGGGTATAAATCCTATCTCTTATTCTGGCATAAACTGGATGTGTGTCTTTGTTTGCAACCTGCTATGCACATGACTATTTGGTTATTCATGCTACTGGCAATTACATTCAATAAATGGGCCTATGATGATTCCACGTTGTGGTGTGTGTGTTCCTTTAAATGTTTAGTGTGACCGCAGTAATGCAAGGAGGGCGATAAGGGGAGGTGAGTGTGCTGTGATTGGCTGGTGACTGAGTGTGGGAGGAGATGTTCTGAGAGGAATCTGTGTGTGTGTTTTTAGAGAGTGAAGGGTGACAGAGAGTTTTGAAGAGAGTCTGGGTGACTCTAAGACCGATTTCCCACAAGCTGCTGCTCCGCGCTCGCTCCTCCCTTTGCCCCATCCTACATGCCATGTGCTGCACAGCTGCATTTTGCCCCACAGCTTCACCCGATTTCCCCCGCGTCTACTCAATCCTGTTTTTGGATTATATATATATGAGAGAGAGAAGCCTGTCAGAGGGGAATTTTGGTGTCTGAGAGACTGTGGCTGATTTCCCACAAGCTGCTGCTCTGCGCTTGTTCCTCCCTTTGCCCCATCCTACGTGTCAATTTCACACCATGTGCTGTGCTAGCATTTGCTCCGCAGCTTTTCCCAATTCCCCCCACGTCTATTCGATCCTGTTTTTTGAGGACTGAGTAGACGCGGGGGAAATCGGGCAAAGCTGCACGATGGGGCAAAGGGAGGAACCAGCGCGGAGCAGCAGCTTGTGGGAAATCAGCCTGTGTGTGACACCAAGCTTGCCAGTTATAATTACAAGTTCGTTTCTTCAGCAACTGTTCAAATTAACCAGAAACCTATTTTGTTCTTTATTAAATAAATCAATTTTTTGTGTAAATTTATCCCAGAAATCAGTACAGTCCTTCCTCAGGGCCACATAGTCCTCTGAAGTGCCCAGACCCTGGGTCATACTACCAAAACAGAGAGAATTGGAATTTTTAATTCCTGGTGGCAGCAGAAAACTACCAAGTTTAGGTACACAAAGCGTGTTTAAAGATAAAATCGTCTCCCCAATAAGCAAGCACGTCACAGGGCCTTTTGGCTAATAAATTAACTGGTTAACGGATGTATGCAGTGCCTGCTATATTAGTTTTCTACTTGCATTAATTTTTGTAAATCGGGGAAGCATTTAAAAAAGCTATTCCTTCCCTGCAAACTGACTCATTTTATTCTGCCACCTCAGGATGCAAGCAGCTTATTTTCCCATCATTCCACTTGTGGCCTCAAGCCCAAACTGAGCTCAATCCAAGCTGGTATCTCCTTCAATATGGATTAATTCCAACATATGCTGAATTTACCCTGATGGACTGTGGACACCAATCTGGAAATGCTGTGACCCTTCATCCCCCGTCCGACACCCTAATCCTGCTGCTGTCCCCACCCCATTTACCTTTATTTATTTATTCATTCAATTTGTACCCTGCCCTCCCCGCGAACAGGCTCAGGGCGGTTTACACAGTTGGTGCAAAATTACCAATAAAACCACGTACAATCAGTTAAAACAATTCAATACAAATAACCTTCTCTTGTGACTCCAGGGTTTCCACATCCACTCTGTGCATGAAGTTGGTCTCTGTGCTGACATAATAGTCCCCTTTGTAGACCACATAGTTCACATTGCAGTTGTCGGTCATGTCTAGAACAAAAGTCCTGGCTTAGTTTGTGGCTGATTCTCTGTTGTTTTAGCAAACCCACGTTGGAACAGAAAAGGTGCAGCTCAAAACCACATTCAAATACCTCGGGGCAACGTGCTGACTGCAAAGTCACCCCTGAACAGACATAAATCTATGCAGAAGGTACCATAAAATCCAATGATTAAAGGAAGTGAGAGCAGCATGGAATGTGGAGGCTGCCATAAAATCTGATGATCAAAGGAAATGAAAGCAGCATGCAGTGCAGAGGGGAATTTCTGTTCCGACATGGGTTTGCTATAACAACGGAGGGAAAAGCCAATGCAGAATCGCCCTGTGAGTGTGGTATGGAACACTTGGGGCCCCCACGGAAGTGGCATGGACACATTTAGAATAAACACATCACCTTGTTGAAGTCACTGATCTCTTGGGAACTGCCTGAGGAGCCAAACTGTGGCTCAGGAGTCACACGCGGCTCTTTCACACATATTGTGCAGCTCCCGGCAAGGCGGCTGGGGAAGTGAAGGGGAGGCCTGCCTCCCCAATCGGTCCTCCCTTCCCCAGCCAGTTTTCCACTCTCCGGGTAGGTGGAGTCTAAAACTAAAGTCCTGGCTTAGCTTGAGGCTGATTCTCCCTTGTTTTACCAAACCCACGTCGGAACAGGACAGGTGCAGAGAAGGAGCAGAGAAAGAAAGCAACTTAAGCAGAGAAGGAGGAGAGAAGGAAAGCAACTTTAACTTTACATGCATTCTCAAAGCATTTTCAAAGTCTCATTTAATGTTAAAAAAGCAAATCTGCATATTTTCAATTTAAAAAGTGTGTGGGATATTTGTTCATGGGTTGCGGATCTCAAATATCTGACATTTATTTTATGTGGCTCTTAGGTTAAGCAAGTTTGGCCACTCCTGCTCTAGGCCAATAAACGTATCCCTCCTCTTGACTCATGCCTGGGGTTGCTGTCGACATGGCAAAGGTTGGTTTCCTTGCAACCAAACAAAACACATTGCAATCTCAGGCAGGCTGATTTAGAAGAACCTGAGACAACTCCTTTATCTGGATCTTTACTCAAGCTATGGGCACACAGAAGTAAACAGTCACGGGGGCGGGGAACGACAAGTATTCCATAAATCAGGGCTATTTTGGGGCAGGAACGCACAGGAACAGAGTTCCGTCTGTCTTCAGAGTTGGCCACGCCCACTACAGCCAAAACCTCTGCGTGCGTGGCTACAGAGGGAAGGCCTGGAAAGCGACCCCCCCCGGCGACTCCAAGGTGGGCAAGCAAGGGGGGGCCCTGGAAGGATCGGGGAGGCATTTAAATGCCTCCTCGTGCCTTCCCCACCCTGTCCGAGGGTCAGCTTGCCCGGGCTCCCCGCAGACGCAGGGCGCCCAGGCAAGCCAAAGACTGCCTTCCGTTCTCTTCAAGGGGGGGGATTGCCTGGGCGCCCCGCAGCCATGGGGTGCCCGAGCAAGCCAAGGGAAGGCATGGGTGTGGCTTAATATGCTAATGGGTTGCACTGTCAGGAGTGTGGCCTAATATGCTGATGAGTTTCTGCTGTTGGGTGTGGCCTATTATGCTAATGAGTTCCTGCTGGGCTTTTTGGGCAAGCCAAGGGAAGGCATAGGTGTGGCCTAATACGCTAATGAGCTGCACTGTCAGGGGTGTGGCCTAATAGGCTGGTGAGTTTCTGCTGTTGGGTGTGGCCTATTATGCTAATGAGTTCCTGCTGGGCTTTTTCTACAAAAAAAGCCCTGCCATAAATTATCTCCTGCAATGCCATGCTAAGCCAGTGAAAAGCACTGTCAGACAGTGAAGAAGTTCAAGGGTGGCTTGACGGAGAAGGATGGCCCACGGTGCTCTTTGGTAGTATCTGTACTTGTAGTGATGACCACTTTTTGGACTTCTAACACTCGATCCGGGGACGGTTCCAGGTTTTGGGGGGCCCCAGACAGGCAGTTCCCAAGCCAACTCCCTGCCAGCCACCAAGAAGAAGAAGAAGAAGAGATTGGATTTATACCCCGCCCTTCACTTGGAGTCTCAGAGCGGCTTACAAACTCCTTTCCCTTCCCCTCCCCACAACAGGCACCCTGTGAGGTGGGTGGGGCTGAGAGAACTCTGACACAAACTGCTCTTTTTCAAGGACAGCTGTGCCAGAGCTTGTGACTGACCCAAGGTCACATCAGCAGGTGCAAGTGGAGGAGTGGGGAATCAAACCCGGTTCTCCCAGATTAGAGTCCACATATGTAACCCCTGCTTGTGCCTTTCTTCCCTCCCCCGCTCTCCCATCCACTAGGGCTGCCAGCTCTGGGTTGGAAAATACCTGGAGGTTTTGGGGGCGAAGCCTGGGGAGAGTGGGATCTAGGGAGGGCAGGAACATCAGCAGGGCTTAACGCCATACGGTCCACCTTCCAAAGCAGCCACGTTCATCAGGGGAATGGATACCTGTTGTCTGAAGACCAGCTGTATTTCCAGGAGATCTCCAGCCATGGCCTGGGGGTTGGCAATCCTGCCGATCCATGTCCCTCCTACCTGCTTCTGCGTTCTTCCGTTGTCTTCTCAAGAGCCCTCACTCTGCCTTTGCTCACACTGCCATCCCACCCTTTCCCCAGAGGCACTGGGCAATGCTAGCCAATAAGCGTGCGAGGGACGTCAGCAGCAGTGGGCCCTGCCTGAAACTTCAGGCCTCCGCAGCCGCCCCACTTCAGAGTACGCTGATGCTGGCTCTGGCCTGATCGCATAACCATTCTTGCACCCATTGCACTGCCATTCTAAGAACGCCACTGAATAGACCTAAGTAGGGTTCTGAGTGGACCTGCTCAGAATTCTCCCTCCATTTTTTTTCTTTTGAAATTGAACAGTCCATTTCCCATTTTTGCAATTCAGGAAGCACAGCTGTTTGAAGCACAGATTCAGGTGGGTACCAGTGTTCCCTCTAAGCTGAGTTAGTGTGAGCTAGCTCACAGTTTTTTAGCCTCCGGCTCACACCTTTTTGTCTGAGCTCAGGAAGGATGGGGCTCCAGAGCAAACTAATTTATGCAGTAGCCGAATCGCTCGCTCACACCTTTAATGCCACTAACTCACAAAGTAGAATTTCTGCTCACAAGACTCCACAGCTTAGAGGGAGCTTTGGTGGGTACCCGTTTCCCCTCTAAGCTGAGTTGGTGTGAGCTAGCTCACAGTTTTTTAGCCTCCACAGATCTTTGCTGTAGCTCAGGAAGGATGGCCTCAAAGCAAACTAATTGATGCAGCAACCAAATGGCTCGCTGACAACTTTAATGCCCATAGCTCACAAAGTAGGATTTTCGTTCACAAGACTCCACAGCTTAGAGGGAGCTTTGGTGGGTACACAGGTTGGTCTGAAGCAACAGAATGAAGTCTGACTGGAGTGGCACCTGTAAGGCCAACAAAGTTTCATTCTGTGTATAGCAAGACCACAACAAAGTTTTGTTCTGGGCATAAGCTTTTGTGTGCATGCGTGTATCTGAAGTTTGTATCTGAAGCATGCATCCGAAAGCTTATACCCAGAATGAACACTGTTGGTCTTAAAGGTGCCACTGGATTAAAAATTTCATTCTGTTTGAAGCAGGGTTTCCGATTTGGCATGAAGATGGCAGGGAATGGCACCCAAGGGCAGGCAATGAAAGTATGCTCCAATTGAGCTCAGGTTTGTACCAAATCCTGCCCACTTTCTGCAACAGGTACACTGTCAGGAATGTCAACAGAACAGCAAAATGTTGCTCACAATTTTGTTTAGAATTTTTTTAGTGGAAAACGGCAACGTCAAGTTCAAGATGTGATGGAGCTGGTCTAAGAAAGATACTTACCCATACTTTCAAACCTTGACATGAACCGCCCAAATACGCTCTTGCAAGGGTCCGGCATAGCCAGGGTTCCAAACTCAGAGGCCATGATCCGGTTGTTCTGGCTGTTGGTTTTAAAGGAATCGCTCCTGAGGAACTTGCTTTGGTATGTCACAGTCCCATTCTTAATTGTGAACTGGTGTAGCAGGGCGGCACCATCAAACCAATGGTTGTATCTTCCATCAGAGAGAGAAAAATCCGTCAAAAGAGAAGCTAGGAGCACAGGGTGTCATCCTACACGGTCCTTTTTAAAGGCTGCACTGGGTTCCAGCTCATCGTTTCATGCATCCAAATGCTTAACTTTATGCATCCAAGATGTCTCATGCATCCACGCTCATATCTTTATGCATAACTTTATGTATGAACCCACCACAGATTAGAAAAACTGCACATGGACTCTGCGGGATTAAGACCACAAAAATAACTAAACCCTACACAAAGATCAAAGTTACAGCAAGACCAAGAACATACTGCTTTCAGGGGAAGGGCTCTGGACAAGCAAACACAGGTCTGGTCCTTTCCCTCAGTCAGGCAAAGCAGAGAAAAATAACCCTCCAAATTTGGGGGTTTTTTTTAAATCAAAATTCACCAACTTGGTGGTGGTGAGGAAATCGATTCTAATGGATATAAATCTTCAGGATTTTCTTTTTTAAAAATTTTAAAACAATGGAGAACACTTCTTCCTTGTCAATCTCAAAAGTTTGCAAAATAAATCTTTCTAAAAGAAGCAAGCAAAATGTGTTTATCGTTAAGGGTATCAGTCAGTGGTGCACTGATTTAGAAACACAGAAAAATAGAGCTGGAAGGGACCCCGGGAGTCATCTAGTCCGACGCCATGCACAATGCAAAAAAAATTTCACAGCTACCTCCCCCCCCCCTCAGTGGCCCCTGCTCTATGACTGATCATTTTCATTCCTCGCTAAGCAGATCAGACAGAAAGAAGGGCAGTGCCACAACCTAAGCAAGATTTTCCTCTGCTATTAGTCCCTCCAGTTCTGAGGACAGAGTGTCTGTTTGTTCCTTCTGAGCCAAAAGTTATTAATGCCGGAATGTGAGATCAGAATGTAGTTAACAGTTGTTGTAACCAGAGGTCGATTCGGGGGGATCGCGGGGGATCGCAGTTCCCCCGGGTGAGGTGCGGGGGGCGGGGCACATGACGAAGCCCCGCCCCCTGCTTCCGGCCGCCCTGCTTCCGGCCCTCATTCAGCCAGGAGGCAGGAGAAGAGGGAGGGTAAGTTGCTTCCTCCCCGCCTCTCCCCACCCCTGCCTGCCTGGGGCCAGGGAGGGCCTTGGTGGGGCTTCCTTGCACTCCCGCCGGCCTTGCAGGTCCACCACCGGGCCTTATGATGTCAGGGGTGTGGCATATGCTAATGAGTTATGCTAATGAATTCCCCTAGTTCTTTTTCTACGAAACGACCCCTGGTTGTAACTAGTAACTACTTCCATGGATAGCCTCACTCACAGACAGTTATAAGTCACTGAAACAGTTAGTTTGGAATTGTACCATTATTAAGCAATTTCTGGACTGACTTACCTGATTATCTTTTGGCGTTTTAGAATAGCTACCTCTGCTTTTCTCCGTCCGCTTCCTCCTTCTCCTAATTACCTTGTTTGGTGTATTGTATGTTTATATTATAGAACAGGGTTGAAATTGTACTCCTTCTATTAATACTGTGTATTTTTCCTAAAGAATATCCACCATATATTTATAAGGTTTAACGTTGTAATCACTAATCAAGCTCTTTCTCTATATGTGTGTGTGTGTGTGTGTTACTGTTGTTTATCTGTTAGTCTATAGTCTTATATTTTAATAAAGTATATAATTTTTAAAAGTTTGGAATTAATAAACACCAGAGAAACCAACAACAACAAGCAGGACTTACTGATGTCTTCCAAACTCGTACTTCCCTGGCCCATTCCTCAGCAGTTTTCCCTTGAGCCATAGGGGGATTTGCCCTTTGACACGCGTAGGGATTTGTTGGGGTGTCTCCTCTACACTGGAAAACAACGGTATGACACATTCCAAACCTTTCCGATTGCTGAAGGTGGGCGGCTGCCTCCGGCTAGTCAGAGCTGTGGAAACAAAGGGAGAGGTTAGTACACAGGAAGGGAACAATAAGTTAAGACTAAGGAAGGCCGGAAAACCGACAAGACAGACCTAAAGCCCCCTTTTTAATAAAAGCCATTTACAAAAAAGCGATATAGAGTGAAAACTTCCCGCTGTTCCATCCAGCCAAAAACAATACAGGTATTGGCTAGGACCCAAGATCAAGATGAACGTGAAGTTCGAAGTCTATAGCTCTTGCAAACAAACCACCCTGAGATATACAAACCACAGGTATCACTGCCAAAAGCCCCTAACAAGGGAAGTGGGTGTTTTTCTTTTGAGGCTGGCAATAATGGGAATGATAGTAGCACTACTCGATACTTATATAACTGCACCAAAACTTGCTCTGGCCAAGCAAACTGTATGTGCACGAATAACTCATTCGCTTGAGGAAGCTGCCTCCAGTACTGTTCCTTTAAGTGTAGTTGCTAGATAAGACAATTGTGGAACCTTTGGAATCCAGTCCACTTGATTTCTAGTGAGAAATATGCTCTTAACTAACCATTCATCTTGTAATATTCTGATTCCTTTGTCAGCAACAGTAGAAACGGCTTTAGCTGGTAAACTCTCCGTGGTTTGAAGAAGAAGAGATTGGATTTATACCCTGCCCTTCACTTGGAGTCTCAGAGCGACTTACAAACTCCTTTCCCTTCCCCTCCCCACAACAGACACCCTGTGAGGTGGGTGGGGCTGAGAGAACTCTGACACAAACTGCTCTTTTTCAAGGACAGCTGTGCCAGAGCTTGTGACTGACCCAAGGTCCCATCAGCAGGTGCAAGTGGAGGAGTGGGGAATCAAACCCGGTTCTCCCAGATTAGAGTCTGCACACTTAACCACTACACCAAACTGGCTCTCCAGTTTGAACAACTGCCAGAAAGCCTCTCGGACTTCAGATACAACTGCCAGAAAGCCTCTCGGAGTTCAGATAGCAGCCCCGCTGCAAAGAAGGCTGTTGACAGCTGCTCACGATGACATCTTAGCCTCTAAATCTGCATTCTCTAACTCCCGAGAATCAAACTCTTCTCTTTTGTGTAATCTGTACAACATGAGAGAGACCTGTGCAGTCTCAGACACTTTTTTAAATGCTCTGTCCGGCAATACACCCTTTGTAGGAGATCGGGGGAGGGGGACCCGCTTACCTGGGACGTACTGGAGCAAAAACCAAAGGAAATCAGCCGCATACTGAGTTAGAAGGCTGGTGAACGAAAGGATATAGGAAAGCATTTCTGCATAATGCTGGGTTCAAATGACAAAGCAGATTCTAAAGTAGCCTGCATACACTGCCCAAGATGGCAGAGTGCAACTGATCCCAGGGGGAATGTAGAGAAGGGATGGCTGAATGCCACATTTCAGAATAAAAGCCTTCTCAGCAGTCTGAACACGGGTAACAGGGATGGGCTGGCACGGAACCCGCCAGTGTTTTCTGCACTAAATCTCTGCACTAGGGAGCGAATTTATCTACAGACCGTTCTTCTTTAGAAATAAATCAGGGAAAGAAGAGTATTCAGATTGCCCCTTTAATATTTTCTCCCTTTACACACCCTGAAGAATTATTTACAGTGCAATCCCAAACACAGTCAATGGTCTTAGAAGGGTGGAATTCCGATTAGGACTGCACTGTTCGTATCTAGCACTTTTCCCACACTTTCACAATGTGCTATAAATACAAAGCAAAAATCTGAATTTCATCATGAGCTTCCCTAAAGGTAAAGGTTCCCTTGCTCGAAATGCCAGTCGAATCCGACTCTAGGGTTGCGGTGCTCATCTCCGTTTCAAAGCCGAAGAGCCAGCGCTGTCCGGAGAAGTTTCCATGGTCATGTGGCCGGCATGACTAAACACCAAGGCGCACGGAACGCTGTTACCTTCCCACCGAAGTGGTACCTGTTTATCTACTTGCAATTTCTTGCTTTTGAACTGCTAGGATGGCAGGAGCTGGAACTAGAGACGGGAGCTCACTCCATCATGCGGCACCCGGGTCTCGAACTGCTGAACTACCGACTTTCTGCAGTTTGCAGTTCAGCGTCTTAACCACTTGAGCCACATTTTCAAAATGATACTAGTGTGAATTGTCTCAAAACATCCAGTGGCAATGTGTAATGAAATAAACGCTCCGGGTCACCGAATTTCCTTCTGTTTTTAATTACAGCAAGTAAGCCAGACTCAACTGTGGCCTCTTTGTAGCCACAAAGGACAGACTTCTAAGAAAAATGGGTAACAACCTGTCTCATCCATCTAAAGGGGCTAAATGGATGTACCAGCAAAATATCTTTGCTTTAATGTAAAGAGATAAGGTACAGGGATGAAGT